CCTTTGGGCAGCCGGAAGTTGTATCTGTCCACATCCTTAGTCCAAAATGGACATTTCTTAGAGAAAATTTCCTTTCCGACCAAAAAATCAATTATTGAAAAAAATAACTTAAAACTGTTGACCAGATCAATCAATAACAATGACAGAAAGACACCTGCCCACTTATCAAACGCCTGGGGCAGAGACTCTTTGGGGAGCTCAGAGCGATTCTCAGGGTTCAGACTTACAGGCCTGTTTGGCTCCATGTTTGCCGACACCTCCTGTGCTGGCCAGGACCATTCTCATCTGGCCCAGACTGCTCTGCCTCGGTGCCCGTATTGCTGTAGAAATGCAAACAGAAAAACGTTAGTGTCATGAATTGTGTCACACACAGCTCGCACCATCCCCTTCTTCTTGTAAGTCCCTTCCGAGAGACACCAAGTGTTGTATGTGCTTGCCTGGCACGCAGCAGTTGCTGCCACAGCCAACACCTGTAGGGCCTGGACAACCCGCAGAGGGTGGCTTTCAGAGCTTTGACTCTCTGAAATCCTCCGAGCAGAGGTAAAGGCATTTTCTGCCAGAGTTAAAGGCTCTCTGCTGAGCAGAATGAGGCCCCTGCTACTATCTAGCAGCTGGCCTGTGCAGACACGCCTGCATTTCCTGCCGGCTGTTTTGGGCCTACCGATTAGAAGAGGATAACTGGCTCAAAACCATGTGTCCAAACAAACCGAGAGAGCCCAGACTGATGCCAAAGGAGGGGCATTGAGCGAGTTCAGGCCAGGGCAGCATCTCCACACAGGGAAACTTCTGTGCAAAACAGACTGTCCCAGTAGCAGGAGGAGCTGCCGCCCAGCCCATAGGCAGGTACCTGGAGAAGGATTATTGCAGGGGCCAGATCCAGGCAGAGAAGAGAGCAGATCACCTGGCCCCTGGAACCTCCTTTACAGCATTTCACCATTGACCCCATGCCCACGGACCCGAGAACAGCGGCGGTTCAGAGCAGCGTGCCAAAGCACTGTCTGCCCCCTCTTTGCCTCTTGGGCTTGTACCAGAAGCCACATGGGAGCAGCACAGAGCAGCACGTCCCGTCCTGCTTCTCTCTGGCACCTCTCCTGCCCAGCTCCTTTGCATGTTAACACCGCTCCAGAAAGCCACAGCTAATCCCCGTCTTGGCTGATGCTCTCACGTGCTGCCAGCAGGCCCCTTGTACTGTGTGCTCCACTGCCCCTGCGCCCGCGGATTACCGGGCTCCTGCCGCGGAGCTGTCAGACCTGAACTCCAAGCCTGGGTGAAGGATTGGAGACGGTGGAGCGTGTGCACACAGCAGAGCAGGAGGTGCCTGGGCAGGTCGCCGCAACCCTTTGCCAGGTGGAAACAGTCTGCTCTCTACAGATTTCCACTTGGCTTCCTGCTCTAGGTCCTAAGCTGCCACTGTTCTGTTCCTTCTGCGGCTCTTCCTCACCCTCTCGCCCTTCGGCTGCTTCCTCTCAGGTCCCCATCCCCGTTGATCTCCAGGCCCTACGTGTAGTGAGCCCATGCCTCAGTGCTACCACCGTGGCTTCCTGGCCCTATTCATGCTGCACAGGCATTCATCGTGGCCCTGCTGGCCCTAATCGTGGCCTCCTCACAGGCGCCCCCATGCCTCACCCATATTCCTCGCTCTCCATTCACTGAACCTTCTGGCCCTGGTGCTGGTTTCTGCCCACGCAGGCTCCTGCTCCCCTATCCAGTCTTTGGATGCGAACTCCAGCCTTGGCCCACTGGCTCCGGTCTCAGCTCCTCGGCCTCAGTCCACTTCACAGCAGGGCTGGAGCTGCAGAGCACCCAGGCACCCGCTGCACCCAGCACAACCCCTGCAGCCACTCCCAAGCCCCAGGGGTTACTCAGTGCATTCCCAACCAAGACTCGAACCCTCACTGGTCCATAAGGACAAATCAGTCTATCCCGCTGGGAAAACAGCAGCACCACTTAAAATCTTTAACCCATGCAGACACCCTCACCCACCAAGGGAGACCTCTCCAACCCCCGATAGCAGCCCCTCCTGCTCCTGGGGCTCCTTCTCCTCGGGGACCACCAGTTACCCAGTCTGCAAGAGAGCGCCATCCTCCCAGACACCCAGGGCCATAGCACCCCTTTGCCCTAGAGGCAGTTCCTATGCTGGCCCAGCCTCTCTCCTGATCCTTGCTGATCCTCAGTGAGCAGGAAGGAGCGTGGCATCTCTTGCCACCACAGTCCTTCAGGGATGCTGTAAAAGGGCAGGCTGGCCCTTTAGGAGAGAGCAGGCAGCCCTGTTGCAGAAGCCCAGATGCAAGCGCTTAGCTAACGGCAGTGTCCCACTAGCAGCTAAAAACCCAGAAGTCAGTGAGCAGAGGGGTGAGCTGGGGGAAGGGGCAGCTTGTCACCATAGATTCATAGATGTTAGGGTCAGAAGGGACCTCAATAGATCAGAGTCCGACCCCCTGCATAGGCAGGAAAGACTGCTGGGTCTAGATGACCCCAGCTAGATGGTTATTACCCCCCTCTTGAAGACCCCCAGGGTGGGGGAGAGCACCACCTCCCTTTTGGTGCCCAGTCCAGATTTTAGCCACTCTAACTGTGAAGAAGTTCTTCCTAATGTCCAATCTAAATCTGCTCTCTGCTAGCTTGTGGCCATTATTTCTTGTAACCCCCGGGGGCGCCTTGGTGAATAAATACTCACCAATTCCCTTCTGCGCCCCCGTGATGAATTTACAGGCAGTCGCAAGGTTTCCTCTCAACCTTCTCTTGTGGAGGCTGAAGAGGTCCAGGTGCCCCAGTCTCTCCTCGTAGGGCTTGGCCTGCAAGCCCTTAACCATACGAGTGGCCCTTCTCTGAACCCTCTCCAGGTTATCCGCATCCCTCTTGAAGTGC